CCCAGCAAGGGACCCCAATTCCCAGAGAAGGCACCCCATTTCCTGGCAAGGGACCCCCATTCCCTTGTGAGGCACCCCATTTCCTGGCAAGGGACCCCCATTCCCTTGTGAGGCACCCCAATTCCCAGGCAAGGCACCCCATTTTCTGGCAAGGGACCCCAATTCCCAGGTGAGGGACCCCGATTCCCAGCTGAGGGACCCCATTCCCTGGCAAGGCACCCCATTTTCTGGCAAGGGACCCCGATTCCCTTGTGAGGGACCCCCATTCCCTCCTGAGGGACCCTGATTCCCTCGTGAGGCACCCCATTCCCAGGTGAGGGACCCTGATTCCCAGGTGAGGGACCCCGTTTCCTGGCAAGAGACCCCAATTCCCAGATGAGGGACCCCAATTCCCTCGTGAGGGACCCCATTTCCTCACAGGGGACCCCAATTCCTAGTAAGGGACCCCATTCCCTCATGAGGGACCCCATTTCCTGGTGAGGGACCCCAATTCCTGGTGAGGGACCCTGATTCCCAGGCAAGGCATCCCATTTCCTGGTAAGGGACCGCATTTCATGGCGAGGGACCCCAATTCCCTCCTGAGGGACCCCATTTCCTGATGAGGGACGCTGATTCCCAGCTGAGGGACCCCATTTCATGGCAAAGGACCCCAGGGACCCCGATTCCCAGCTGAGGGACCCCAATTCCCAGGCAAGGCACCCCATTTTCTGGCAAGGGACCCCAATTCCCAGGTGAGGGACCCCGATTCCCAGCTGAGGGACCCCATTCCCTGGCAAGGCACCCCATTTTCTGGCAAGGGACCCCGATTCCCTTGTGAGGGACCCCCATTCCCTCCTGAGGGACCCTGATTCCCTCGTGAGGCACCCCATTCCCAGGTGAGGGACCCTGATTCCCAGGTGAGGGACCCCGTTTCCTGGCAAGAGACCCCAATTCCCAGATGAGGGACCCCAATTCCCTCGTGAGGGACCCCATTTCCTCACAGGGGACCCCAATTCCTAGTAAGGGACCCCATTCCCTCATGAGGGACCCCATTTCCTGGTGAGGGACCCCGATTCCTGGCAAGGGACCCCAATTCCCAGGTGAGGGACCCCATTTCCTAGTAAGGGACCCCATTTCCTGGCGAGGGACCCCGATTCCCAGGCGAGGGACCCCCATTCCCAGGTGAGGGACCCCCACATCCCAGCAAGGGACCCCATTTCCTAGTAAGGGACCCCAATTCCTGGTGAGGGACCCTGATTCCCAAGTAAGGCACCCCATTTCCTACTAAGGGACCCCATTTCCTAGTAAGGGACCCCCATTTCTTGGTAAGGGACCCCAATTCCCTCGTGAGGGACCCCATTCCCAGGTGAGGGACCCCATTCCCCAGCAAGGGACCTTGATTCCCAGGCAAGGCACCCCATTTCATGGCAACGGACCCCGATTCCCAGGCGAGGGACCCCGATTCCCAGCTGAGGGACCCCAATTCCCAGGCAAGGCACCCCATTTTCTGGCAAGGGACCCCAATTCCCAGGTGAGGGACCCCAATTCCTGGCAAGGGACCCCAATTCCCAGCTGAGGGACCCTGATTCCCAGGCGAGGGACCCCATTTCCTGGCAAGAGACCCCTATTCCCAGGTGAGGGACCCCCACATCCCAGCAAGGGACCCCATTTCCTAGTAAGGGACCCCAATTCCTGGTGAGGGACCCTGATTCCCAAGTAAGGCACCCCATTTCCTACTAAGGGACCCCATTTCCTAGTAAGGGACCCCCATTTCTTGGTAAGGGACCCCAATTCCCTCGTGAGGGACCCCATTCCCAGGTGAGGGACCCCATTCCCCAGCAAGGGACCTTGATTCCCAGGCAAGGCACCCCATTTCATGGCAACGGACCCCGATTCCCAGGCGAGGGACCCCGATTCCCAGCTGAGGGACCCCAATTCCCAGGCAAGGCACCCCATTTTCTGGCAAGGGACCCCAATTCCCAGGTGAGGGACCCCGATTCCCAGCTGAGGGACCCCATTCCCTGGCAAGGCACCCCATTTTCTGGCAAGGGACCCCGATTCCCTTGTGAGGGACCCCCATTCCCTCCTGAGGGACCCTGATTCCCTCGTGAGGCACCCCATTCCCAGGTGAGGGACCCTGATTCCCAGGTGAGGGACCCCGTTTCCTGGCAAGAGACCCCAATTCCCAGATGAGGGACCCCAATTCCCTCGTGAGGGACCCCATTTCCTCACAGGGGACCCCAATTCCTAGTAAGGGACCCCATTCCCTCATGAGGGACCCCATTTCCTGGTGAGGGACCCCATTTCCTGGTGAGGGACCCCGATTCCTGGCAAGGGACCCCAATTCCCAGGTGAGGGACCCCATTTCCTAGTAAGGGACCCCATTTCCTGGCGAGGGACCCCGATTCCCAGGCGAGGGACCCCCATTCCCAGGTGAGGGACCCCCACATCCCAGCAAGGGACCCCATTTCCTAGTAAGGGACCCCAATTCCTGGTGAGGGACCCTGATTCCCAAGTAAGGCACCCCATTTCCTACTAAGGGACCCCATTTCCTAGTAAGGGACCCCCATTTCTTGGTAAGGGACCCCAATTCCCTCGTGAGGGACCCCATTCCCAGGTGAGGGACCCCATTCCCCAGCAAGGGACCTTGATTCCCAGGCAAGGCACCCCATTTCATGGCAACGGACCCCGATTCCCAGGCGAGGGACCCCGATTCCCAGCTGAGGGACCCCAATTCCCAGGCAAGGCACCCCATTTTCTGGCAAGGGACCCCAATTCCCAGGTGAGGGACCCCAATTCCTGGCAAGGGACCCCAATTCCCAGCTGAGGGACCCTGATTCCCAGGCGAGGGACCCCATTTCCTGGCAAGAGACCCCTATTCCCAGGTGAGGGACCCCCACATCCCAGCAAGGGACCCCATTTCCCATCGAGGGACCCCCAGCAGCTCCCCTCCAGGTGCTGCCAGGGGGACGAAGTGACATGGTGGCCCCCTGGGGACACGCACCCCGCTCCCTTCCCAGCCACCCGACCCCTCGGGGCGATTTCCCTCACGAGGGGAGTCCCGTAACCCCAAAAACCCACCCAGAGCTTATTGGGGGGCTACAGCCTCAGTGGGATGATGGGTGCTGAGCCCTGTCCCCTCTGGGCCACCCCCCTGTCCCAGTAAGGCACCCCATTTCCTACTAAGGGACCCCATTTCCTAGTAAGGGACCCCAATTCCTGGTGAGGGACCCTGATTCCCAAGTAAGGCACCCCATTTCCTACTAAGGGACCCCATTTCCTAGTAAGGGACCCCCATTTCTTGGTAAGGGACCCCAATTCCCTCGTGAGGGACCCCATTCCCAGGTGAGGGACCCCATTCCCCAGCAAGGGACCTTGATTCCCAGGCAAGGCACCCCATTTCATGGCAACGGACCCCGATTCCCAGGCGAGGGACCCCGATTCCCAGCTGAGGGACCCCAATTCCCAGGCAAGGCACCCCATTTTCTGGCAAGGGACCCCAATTCCCAGGTGAGGGACCCCAATTCCTGGCAAGGGACCCCAATTCCCAGCTGAGGGACCCTGATTCCCAGGCGAGGGACCCCATTTCCTGGCAAGAGACCCCTATTCCCAGGTGAGGGACCCCCACATCCCAGCAAGGGACCCCATTTCCCATCGAGGGACCCCCAGCAGCTCCCCTCCAGGTGCTGCCAGGGGGACGAAGTGACACGGTGGCCCCCTGGGGACACGCACCCCGCTCCCTTCCCAGCCACCCGACCCCTCGGGGTGATTTCCCTCACGAGGGGAGTCCCGTAACCCCAAAAACCCACCCAGAGCTTATTGGGGGGCTACAGCCTCAGTGGGATGATGGGTGCTGAGCCCTGTCCCCTCTGGGCCACCCCCCTGTCCCCTCTGGGCCACCCCCCTGTCCCCTCCTCACCCTTCCCATGGCCGGCAGGGTCGGTGCCCACCTTCCTGCCCCCCAAAACCCCCCCATCCCACTCCAACACGACTCCAGTCCCCGTGGGGAGGACCTTTATTCCCTTCCGTGGGGCAGTGGGGTGATGCCACCCTGGGGCTGTCCCTGTCCCTTGTCCCCCAGGGCCTCCAGGTAGAGCCGAAGGGCGAACTTGGTGCCGGTGCTGACGCGCTCCACGTCCTCCCCGTGGGCCGGCGCCGTGGCCAGGAGGGTGCCCGTGGGGAGGAGGGTGCTGCTGGAGCAACCCCCCCGTATCTCCGTGATGCTGAGAGAGGGGGGGGACACAACCATGGGGGGTCCTGGGGCTCTGTGCCCCCCATTTTTTTATTTTTTTTTTTTATAGAATTGCCCAGGCTGGAAGGGACCTCCAAAGGCCATCTAGTCCCACCCCCCCGCAGGACCCCATTCCCAGGTGAGGGACCCCATTCCCCAGCAAGGGACCTTGATTCCCAGGCAAGGCACCCCATTTCATGGCAACGGACCCCGATTCCCAGGCGAGGGACCCCGATTCCCAGCTGAGGGACCCCAATTCCCAGGCAAGGCACCCCATTTTCTGGCAAGGGACCCCAATTCCCAGGTGAGGGACCCCAATTCCTGGCAAGGGACCCCAATTCCCAGCTGAGGGACCCTGATTCCCAGGCGAGGGACCCCATTTCCTGGCAAGAGACCCCTATTCCCAGGTGAGGGACCCCCACATCCCAGCAAGGGACCCCATTTCCCATCGAGGGACCCCCAGCAGCTCCCCTCCAGGTGCTGCCAGGGGGACGAAGTGACACGGTGGCCCCCTGGGGACACGCACCCCGCTCCCTTCCCAGCCACCCGACCCCTCGGGGTGATTTCCCTCACGAGGGGAGTCCCGTAACCCCAAAAACCCACCCAGAGCTTATTGGGGGGCTACAGCCTCAGTGGGATGATGGGTGCTGAGCCCTGTCCCCTCTGGGCCACCCCCCTGTCCCCTCTGGGCCACCCCCCTGTCCCCTCCTCACCCTTCCCATGGCCGGCAGGGTCGGTGCCCACCTTCCTGCCCCCCAAAACCCCCCCATCCCACTCCAACACGACTCCATTCCCCGTGGGGAGGACCTTTATTCCCTTCCGTGGGGCAGTGGGGTGATGCCACCCTGGGGCTGTCCCTGTCCCTTGTCCCCCAGGGCCTCCAGGTAGAGCCGAAGGGCGAACTTGGTGCCGGTGCTGACGCGCTCCACGTCCTCCCCGTGGGCCGGCGCCGTGGCCAGGAGGGTGCCCGTGGGGAGGAGGGTGCTGCTGGAGCAACCCCCCCGTATCTCCGTGATGCTGAGAGAGGGGGGGGACACAACCATGGGGGGTCCTGGGGCTCTGTGCCCCCCATTTTTTTATTTTTTTTTTTTATAGAATTGCCCAGGCTGGAAGGGACCTCCAAAGGCCATCTAGTCCCACCCCCCCGCAGTCAGCAGGGACACCCCCAACTAGACCAGGTTGCCCAGGGCCTCATCAGGCCTCACTAGGCCTCACCTTGAATATCTCCAGGGAAGGGGCCTCAACCACCTCCCTGGGCAACCTGTCCCAGTGCTCCACCACCCTCCCAGTGAAGAACCCTCTCCTCATCTCCAGTCTAAAGCTGTTCCCCTCCAGTTTGAAGCCGTTTCCCCTCGTCCTGTCACTGCAGCCCTTTCTAAACAGGTTCTCGCTGTAAACATTTCTCGCTGCCCCAGTGTCCCCCCCCCCCAAAAGTGTCCTCACCTGATGGTGGCCGGGAGGTCGCTGGGGACGTTGGCCAAGGTCTCCTCTCCATCCGCCGTGGCCGCGATGGCCGCCAGGACCCGGGGCTCCAGCCAGGCGAAGGCGCTCACCTCGCTCTCGTTGGGACACATCCTGGCCTGGCCCCAAGGGGGGACACCAAGGGATTGTCCCCAACCCAGCACTTGGCAGGTCCCAGGCCAATGGGGACACCATGGGGACAATGTCCCCAACCTGGTGCTCAGGGGAGGGACAAACCCCAGGGGGGACACACCAGGACATTGTCCCCAGCCTGATGCTCAGGAAAGTGGACGCGGTGGGACGATGTCCCCAACCCTGCACTCAGAAGAGGTCCCCACCCATGGGGACAACACTGGTACAATGTCCCCAACCCAGCACTTGGCAGAGGGATCCCCCCCCCTGGACAGTGGGGACACCACGGGGACAATGTCCCCAACCTGGTGCTCAGGAAAGGGACCAACCCCACGGGGGACACACCAGGATGATGTCCCCAACCCAGTGTTAGGTGACCTTGGGGACACACCAGGACATTGTCCCCAGCCTGATGGTCCAGAAAAGGGACACACCAGGATGATGTCCCCAACCCCCTGTTTAGGTGAGGAATCCCCCCTTGGGGACACACCAGGACATTGTCCCCAACCCACAGATTGAGAGAAGAATCCCCCTTTGGGGACACACCAGGATGATGTCCCCAACCCAGTTTTAGGTGACCTTGGGGACACACCAGGACATTGTCCCCAGCCTGATGCTCAGGAAAGGTGACACACTGGGATGATGTCCCCAACCCTGCGCTTGGGAGAGGGATCCACCCCTGGGGACAACACCGGGACAATGTCCCCAACCCAGAGATCGGGAGAAGAATCCCCCCCCATGAGGACACACCAGGACGATGTCCCCAACCCAGTGTTAGGTGACCTTGGGGACACACCAGGACATTGTCCCCAGCCTGATGGTCAGGAAAGGGGACACACCAGGACGTTGTCCCCAACCCAGAGATTGGGAGAAGAATCCCCCCCTATGGGGACACACCAGGATGATGTCCCCAACCCAATGTTTAGGTGACCTTGGGGACACACCAGGATGTTGTCCCCAACCCAGAGATTGGAAGAAGAATCCCCCTTTGGGGACACACCAGGATGATGTCCCCAACCCACTGTTTAGGTGAGGAATCCCCCTTTGGGGACAAACCAGGACATTGTCCCCAGGCCGATGCTTAGGAAAGGGGACACACCAGGACGATGTCCCCAACCCACAGATTGGGAGAAGAATCCAACCCCATGGGGACACACCAGGACATTGTCCCCAGCCTGATGCTCAGGAAAGGGGATGCACCAGGACGATGTCCCCAACCCTGTGCTCGGGAGAGGGATCAGCCCCTGGGGACACACCGGGACGTTGTCCCCAACCCAGAGATTGGGAGAAGAATCCCCCCCTATGGGGACACACCAGGATGATGTCCCCAACCCAATGTTTAGGTGACCTTGGGGACACACCAGGATGTTGTCCCCAACCCAGAGATTGGAAGAAGAATCCCCCTTTGGGGACACACCAGGATGATGTCCCCAACCCACTGTTTAGGTGAGGAATCCCCCTTTGGGGACAAACCAGGACATTGTCCCCAGGCCGATGCTTAGGAAAGGGGACACACCAGGACGATGTCCCCAACCCACAGATTGGGAGAAGAATCCAACCCCATGGGGACACACCAGGACGATGTCCCCAACCCAATGTTCAGGTGACCTTGGGGACACACCAGGACATTGTCCCCAGCCTGATGGTCAGGAAAGGGGACACCACCGGAATGATGTCCCCAGCCCTGCTCTCGGGAGAGAGATCCACCCATGGTGACAACACCAGGACAACGTCCCCAACCCAAAGATTGGGAGAAGAATCCCCCCCCCATGGGGCGCTGGGACGATGTCCCCAACCCTGTGCTCAGAAGAGGTCCCCACCCATGGGGACAACACTGGGATGATGTCCCCAACCCTGCGCTCGGGAGAGGGATCCACTCGTGGGGACAACACCAGGACAATGTCCCCAACCCAGAGATTGGGAGAAGAATCACACCGCACGGGGACACACCAGGACGTTGTCCCCAACCCAGTGTTCAGGTGACCTTGGGGACAAACCAGGACGTTGTCCCCAGCCTGACGCTCAGGAAAGGGGACACGGTGGGACAATGTCCCCAACCCTGTGCTTGGGAGAGGGATCCACCCCTGGGGACACACCAGGACGTTGTCCCCAGCCCAGTGTTAGGTGACCTTGGGGACACACCAGGACATTGTCCCCAGCCTGACGGTCCGGAAAGGGGACACACCAGGATGATGTCCCCAACCTAAACCAGGACGTTGTCCCCAGCCTGACGCTCAGGAAAGGGGACACGGTGGGACAATGTCCCCAACCCTGTGCTTGGGAGAGGGATCCACCCCTGGGGACACACCAGGACGTTGTCCCCAGCCCAGTGTTAGGTGACCTTGGGGACACACCAGGACATTGTCCCCAGCCTGACGGTCCGGAAAGGGGACACACCAGGATGATGTCCCCAACCTACTGTTTAGGTGAGGAAACCCCCCTTGGGGACACACCAGGACATTGTCCCCAGGCTGATGCTCAGGAAAGGGGACACACCAGGACGATGTCCCCAACCCAGAGATTGGGAGAAGAATCCCCCCCCATGGGGACACACCAGGACATTGTCCCCAGCCTGATGCTCAAGAAAGGGGACACACTGGGACGATGTCCCCAACCCAGCGCTCGGAAGAGGTCCCCACCCATGGGGACAACACTGGGATGATGTCCCCAACCCAGAGATTGGGAGAAGAATCCCCCTTTGGGGACACACCAGGACATTGTCCCCAGCCTGATGCTCAGGAAAGGGGACGTGGTGGGATGATGTCCCCAACCTTGCGCTCGGAAGAGGTCCCCACCCATGGGGACCACCAGGACGTTGTCCCCAGCCCAGTGTTAGGTGACCTTGGGGACACACCAGGACATTGTCCCCAGCCTGACGGTCCGGAAAGGGGACACACCAGGATGATGTCCCCAACCTACTGTTTAGGTGAGGAAACCCCCCTTGGGGACACACCAGGACATTGTCCCCAGGCTGATGCTCAGGAAAGGGGACACACCAGGACGATGTCCCCAACCCAGAGATTGGGAGAAGAATCCCCCCCCATGGGGACACACCAGGACATTGTCCCCAGCCTGATGCTCAAGAAAGGGGACACACTGGGACGATGTCCCCAACCCAGCGCTCGGAAGAGGTCCCCACCCATGGGGACAACACTGGGATGATGTCCCCAACCCAGAGATTGGGAGAAGAATCCCCCTTTGGGGACACACCAGGACATTGTCCCCAGGCTGATGCTTAGGAAAGGGGACACACCAGGACGTTGTCCCCAACCCTGTGTTCAGGTGACCTTGGGGACACACCAGGACATTGTCCCCAGCCTGATGCTCAGGAAAGGGGACGTGGTGGGATGATGTCCCCAACCTTGCGCTCGGAAGAGGTCCCCACCCATGGGGACAACACCGGGACGATGTCCCCAACCCCACACCCAGGAGAAGGCCCCCCCCAACATGGTGACACCCCACGTGACGTCCCCACGCTCCCCTCCAGCCGCTGGTGTGGCTCCCGGCAGAGCAGCAGGAGGTAGGTGACAACGTGGTGGTGACGCGGCGGCCCCCGGCTCAGCATGGGGGGGTAGATGGACTGGGGGGGTGGGAGAGGGGCTTGGGGATGGGTGGGGACCCCCCCCAGTAGCACCCAAGGGTGCCCTTGGGGGTGCTGAGGGTGTCCCCCCCCCTCCTTGGGGAGG